CGGCCATTTCATTTGGGACTTCGTCAGCGCCTTGCTGTCGTACGCAACGACCCGTTCGGTCTCACCGACCCGCTCTGCCAGTACTGATCCCACAGAGCCATTGCAGGCATCGGTATACAGCACGAATGTCCCTTTGAACGACGGCAGCGACAGTACCGGAGGTGACGCCAGCACACTTTTGAGTTGGTTGAAGGCGTGAGTCATCTCGGCTGTCCAGTCCAATCGCCCCGGAGACAGTGCAGCGCTCCTCAGAGGCCGGCTGACCTCAGCGTAGTTTTCGATAAATTTTGCGTAATAACCGCACAAGCCGAGGAAACTTTTCATTTCATCATCGGTTACTGGGGCCGGCCATGTGAGCACTTTCTCGACGTTCCTTAGGTCGGGACGGATGCCCTCCTCCGACACCTGATGGCCGAGGAATGTCACCTCCTTCTTGGCTAGGTGACACTTGCTTGGCTTCAGCTTGAGGCCTGCACGCCGGATCCGCCCGAAGACCTCCTCCAGTGTATCCAGGTGTTCGCTCTCAGTTCTGTTGAATAGAACGACATCATCCAGGTAAACTAGACACGTTTTCGTATCTAGCCCTGCCAGCACCAGCTCCATTAGGCGCTGAAACGTCGCACTGGCGTTTTTTAGGCCGAACGGCATCACGCGGAACTGTTGCAGACCCCGTCCCGTCGTGAAGGCCGTCTTCTCTCTGTCTTCCGGGCTCATGCCAACCTGCCAATAACCAGCGGCCATATCCAGGGTGGTGAACCATTGCGCACCGGCCATTGAGTCCAACGCGTCATCAACTCGAGGGAGAGGATATGCCACTCCTTTCGTGACTCCATTCACCGCCCTCATGTCTACACAGAAGCGAAAAGAGCCGTCCTTCTTCCGCACCAGGACGACGGGGGAACACCATGGACTGGTGCTCTCCTCTATCACCCCGTCCCTCAGCATCTGCTCCTTCTGCAGCTCCACTTGGTCTCGTATTGACGTCGGTATCCTGCGGGCCGGCTGCCGGATCGGAGTGGCATCGCCTGTGTCAATCCGATGCTGCACCAAGTGGGTGCGTCCAATGTCTCCTGGGTGCTGACTGAATATGTCCCGGTACTCCGACACCAGGCTTCTTAGCCGGGACTTGCCATCCTCAGACATGTCGGAGCCGTCCACGTCGACTGCTGTGACTGGTGCCGGAACATCATCATCATCGCCTTGGTCGCCGTCGCTGCCCCGCGGCGACCCGCCACCGGTGACAGCGCCGGCGTGAAGACCATCATCCTCACTCAGATCGAATTCGTTGTCACCTCCCGGCAGAATCGTGTACAGCGTCCCGATATCGCTGCCCTTAAGAAATCTGGCCTCGTGGGAACCGACATTAGTCAGCTGTATCGGAACAGTGCCATTACCATTCACAGTCACCACCTCCCTCGGAATCAGGAGGTCCTCCCTCAGCGCCGTGTGACTGGGCTCGATCACTCCCTGCAGCGCACACGGGTTACTCACCTTCCCGTTGACTGGTACCACAGAAGCTCTGACGACGATGACTGACCGCGCCGGCACCACCGTCGTGGCGGCCAACAGAACTCTCGCCCGACTGGGTCGAATGGCGCTGTACGGAGGCAGACGAATTGACATCCCGGCCAGTCTGATCACTCCCGCCTCGTCATCGATAACAGTGCCATGACGGCAGCAAAAATCACGCCCCAGGACCAGCTCGTACATCAGTCCCTTGACCACTGCCGCGCTGGGAGTAGCGAATGTCTTTCCCTGGATTTCGATTGTCAGGTCTTGAACAACCCCCGTGATGTGAAGCGGCTCACCGCCCGCCCCTCGTGCCGTCTGGGATGGCGTCGTTAGCCGACACCCCAGCTCCCGCTGGACATGCTCCTGCAGACCATCGCGAATCATCGTGAAGTCCGCCCCGGAATCCACCAGGGCCCAGACTCGCCGTGTTCCCAACTGCACCTCGACCACCGACGCCGTGATCTGGGACCCTGATGGACGCCGGGCCGATGCTTGTCCCTCAGCACCGGCCGCCATCAGTTTTCCTGACCGGTGTACTGGGGCTCGTGACGGCTGCTTTGGACTGGTCCGGTATGCGACCGCTGGTCCATCGGGACTGGGAGCATGCGGCAGTCCGCCAGCCAATGCCCGTCCCTACCGCAGCCGAGACAGAACGGAAGTCTCTGTGGTGTAGCAGACTGCCGAGCCGAGCGCGGGCAGTTACGCACCATGTGCCCAGCCTCACCGCATCCAAAGCAACGGCCTACGTTTTCGGTGGACTGGCGGCCTCTACCTGCGGTTCCCTGCACCGTACACGCGCGCCGCGTGTGACCGATCTGGCCGCAGTTATAACAGCGCAGGTTGACCGGGGTCGCGGCTGTCGTTAGAGCCACCGCTGACTGATCATAGGCGAGCTGACTAGACTGTCTGCCCCCCAGCTGCCCGCCGTGGTGGCCAGACGTGTCGAGCTCGTGCAGCATTTGCTGCATTTCCATCATGCGGCGCTCCAGCGCCCGCACCCGATCCGTCTCCGTCTCATCGCCGCCTCGTCCCGCGGCAGGTAAGTCACCGGCGACTGATACCACTTCCCGACCGCGCGGCAGCGCCGTCACGGGACCCGCGACTGCGCCCTCCTGTGAGTTAGCAGCAGGAGCCGCCACTGCAACGGCGCCAGCCGCCGCCGCAGCCGATTGCCGGACTGCCAGCATCGCATCGTGACGTGTCTGCAGCTCTCGGGCTGCAGAAATTGCAGCTGACAGCGTTTTCAGATTTTTGCTGCACAGCTGACTCTGAAGCTGCTCGTTACGCAGTCCGCACAGAAAACGGCTCGTCAAATGGAACTCGACCGGGGCGTCTCCCACGCCCTCGTCTGGATACGCGGCGCGTCCCAGATGACGGATACGATCGGCAAAATCGGCTACTGTCTCCCCAGGTGTCTGCATCGCGCGTGCCAGTTCCGCCTGTGCCTGCAGTGGACCAACCTCAGAGCCGTAACGCACACTCAGCGCCTCGACAACCTGTGCATAATCGGCCTGGGCAGCCGCCGACAACGACGCATATAGGTCCAGAGCCCCATCTTCCAGCAGGGCCGGCAAACACTGCAGACGTTCCGCGGCAGACCAGGTAACAGTTTGTGCCTCGAAACGGTTCAGCCAGCGGCGCCATTCCTGCCCATTTGCACCGGTAAAGGGTTTAGCCTTTGACATAAAAATCAACCTGGGATCCATTTCTCCCTCAAACTGACAAAAACCGACCGTAATATTTACACTACACGATATCCTATTCCGCCGAAAACATCGATCAAAATGCCGGTCGCAGCTACCTTACCGTGATTCTGGCTCACCAGCTCCGGTTTTTCGGTCGTGGCGTCCTACCGACCGCGCCAATTTGTAACGTTTCTTCTGTATTTTCACTTTCACACAATACTATGTACACACACATCGGCAGCCCCGCGTCCCCGTCCTCTCGGCTCGCGGCCCGCCAGCCGACTCCTGCCGCGCCGGCCGCGCCGGCGCGCGCCGACAACTTCCGGGCCGTGCCGCTAGGTGGCAGCAGCTGCCGGCCGCTACAAACCTCTACACTTTCTCTTTTACGTCCTTTCAGTGCAAGTCCAGTGTGGTCCGCCCCGCACCCTTTGAACCCGAAAACACGTTCCAGTTCCGGGGTCTGGCCGGCCGCCTCTCGGCGCCGGGCGTCGCAATGACGTGTCACGTGGTGTGAGGTGGGCCGGTCGAGACCACGCCCCCTCCGCTCCCCTCTGCTCCCGCCCGGCGCGGCGTGACGTCACGTCTCCGACGCTGACTCATGTCTGCGCGACACTGAGCTTCAGGCTGGGTAGTCGGAGGCTGGCGTTGTTTGGTGGCGGAGAAATCACGCCACCCCTCGACTCCTCCTCCCCCCCCCCCACTCCTCTCCCCACATTGCCGACCGACGCTCGGCCGTCGGTCGGCGCGGCGGGCGGCGGCTAAGCCCGTGTAATGTCGGAGAGCGCTAACCGAGACGTGTCGCTGCATGTAGAGGAATGGCGGCTCAACGCACCTGGGCACCTCCGAGGTCTTATATGGCGCTACAGCTGGTGGCTGAGTCACCTGTTGTCAGGCATTCATAATACTGGAGACAGCCGCACGCCAGCTATGGCCTGATACATGAGCTGCTGATGTATGGGGCTAATTTACTCTTATAGACAGGTTAACGGTATCATATTTGTCGAGTTTCCACATTTTTCTATTTATGTTTTGAGCTGGTGTCGTATTTTAAGAACTAGGAGTTGAAGACTCGTGGGACATTGCACTCGAGCTGAGTCAATGCCCTGCGAACTGCGTATGTACCTGACCGTATCATTATCTCGTATCAGCAAAGCACTTCACAGCAGTTGTAGGCAGCAGCATGGCCCAGCTTATTAACCAAGGTCTGCAGTGTGTCGTTTCCGAGTTCGTATGGGCGTATATTCACTTGCAAAGCGTGAATACGAAATACGGTTTGGTTCTATGGTGTGATATAGGTAGCTAAAGACCCTCACAATACTTATCATTTTCTTCATTAAAAAAAATAAGAAAAAAAAACAGATATATCGCCACATTTTATAGAAGGTGTGCTTGTAAACCGAACACTGTTCAATTCCGAGCTTTTTTTTCAAAAGAAGTTAGACTACGCGAACGTTAGTGCAAGCTCAAAACGCTCTCGGGATATGACTGTGTGGGTGCAGGCACTGGGGATCTGCATCCCAAGCTTATGCGAAGTGCGAACAGTATGCTACACAATACACATGACACACAAAGAGTCTGATGTAAAGCATCCAGTGCGGAATCATCTAGAAGCCAAGGGGCTGCTTTGAAAACAATTTAGCGATTTATATGTGCTCTGACGGGCACCGTGTGGCCAGACTTGTGACTCAACCCCGTGCAAATATTTGCCACCGACCCCACTGCTTTCCTGCTCGTTCGCTCGCCTGCCCGTCTGTGCTCGCTACTGCCTGTCTCCGCCTAACGCCGCCCGCCCTCCGTTCTCAGGTAAGACTCGGAACGGCGGCGGCGGCGGAGCGGCAGTAGCGGCACGGCGGCAGCAGAAGCGACGCAGCGGCGACGCGACGGGACACGATGCGTCTCGGCGTGCGCTGGGCTCGACGCTGTAGCCTGGTGCTGACAGTGGTGGTGGTGTGTTTGACGGGTTCGGTGCGGACGGTGACGGAACCCTCGGTGACTGAGAGTGCGCCGTACAGGGAGGTGTACGGTGGACGCTCCACAGTGGACCATGTGGACGTGGTGAGCTCTGTGGACGTTGTGGAGACGGTGGACGTGGTGAACAGCGCGGCGCTGGAGCCGGTGGCCGGCCGCCGGCTGCTGCTGGTCTCCACCCTGGATGGCCGGCTCACCGCGCTGGACCCCGCTGCCGGCGGCGTGCCGCTGTGGACCGTCACCGCGCAGGAGGGTGGCATGCTCAGCTCGACGCTGACGCAGAACCTGCAGCTGTCACAGCAGGGCCAGTGGGTGCGCCTCATCCCGGCGCTGGACGGCAGGCTCTTCAGCTACGACGGCGAGCAGGTGGAGGCGCTGCCGGTGACTGCCGACACGCTGCTGCAGGCCTCCTACCGGTTCGCCGACGACACGGTTATCATGGGCGGCAGCCAGGTCTCCACGCTCGGCATCGACGTGAACACGGGCCGGTTGCGATACCGCTGCGGCGCGGCCGGATGTGCGCGGCCCACCAGCGCTCCAACAGACCCTTCAGCTAACGGTAACGACGAGGATGTTGATGGTGGTGACAGCAGCGGAGACGTGCTGGTTCTGCGCCAGCACACACAGACTGTCCGCGCTGTTGAGCCTCGCTCCGGGCAGGAGCGATGGAACTTCAGCGTCAGCCGTCACGAGCTGACTCTCTCGGCTGGCGAGCGACCGCCGGTGGCCGCACCGTCACCGGACAGTCTCATCACAGCCGACCTGGCCGAGGGAACCCTCTCCGGCACCGAGCACGGCAAGAAGTGGCAACACCGGTTCGCCGGCCCGCTGGTACACGTCTGGCGACTGGATGGCGGAAAGCTACACGAAGTGGACCTATTGGCCCCGGCTGCTGACGACCCCGCCGCCCTCCGGCCTCTGCTGTACCTTGGCGTGCACGAGAAGCAGCTGTACATTCAGCAGAGTAAGCGGGCTGCGACCGCTGGTACCATGGACACGCGTCTGGCAGTGTCTGCCGCCGCGCGCGATCCTCCTCAAGTAAAGTGGAAGCCGTATATGGTGTCCGCCAGCAGTCGCACACCGCTGATCCACGGCACCACACACAGAGGAAACCCGATGCTGCTCACGGACAGAAGCGACAAGGCTCTGGCGCTGAGGCCCGAGGAGTATCCATACGAGGGTGGTTACTACCTCTACAGCAGTGGCGACTGCGTGCTCGAGTCTGGACCGGAGTCTGAGCCGGAGCGACACGGCCCGTTCCCGCACCCGTACATGCCCACTGGCGATGGCTTTATTCCAGATGACGACAACGTGGTGTATGTGGTGATCACGTCGCTGTCGTACTGGTGGCCTCAGATTCTGCTGCTGAGTGCCAGCATCGCCGTGCTTTTGAACCTACTTGTGACTGAGCACTACAGGCTCTACTATCGAGCACACGCCTACCGCGTAGTGCGCACTATTCTGCGCCTGCGCCCACCGCACTACGTGGTGCGCGAAGTACAGGTGCCAGTCCGAGAAGAGGTGATCCGAGAGGTGGAGGTAGTGCGCGAGGTGGTGCGTGATCCCCCGCCGGTGGAGCAGCCGGCGCCGCGCTCCAACTTCTTAGAGAACTTTGAGCCGGTGCAGTGCCTCGGCAAGGGCGGCTTCGGCGTGGTGTTTGAAGCGAAGAACTTGCTGGATGACCACCATTACGCAGTGAAGCGGATACGCCTACCGGACAGAGAGAAATCGCGCCGCCGTGTGCTGCGTGAGGTCTCCTGCCTGGCCAAGCTGGAGCACCGCAACATCGTGCGCTACTTCTACTGCTGGAAGGAGCAGCTGTCGGTGGAGTCGCTGCAGGAGCAGGACCGGGTGCTGGACACCTCAGAGTGGGCGTCCAGCCCGACTCCGCTGAACTCAGTGGCGAGCGGTGGAGGGAGCGCGCCCGCCTCTCCGGAGGACCTCTCTGGCTCGGTGCTGAAGCTGACGCGGTTCGTGTCGGCGCTGCCCGGCGGCGGGGAGCGCAGCGGGCGACAGAGGACAATCGGCGGCGGGTTTCTGCCGGCGCTGGCAGACTCTTCACCCCGCCGCCGGCCGAAACACGGCGACAGCTCCGCCCTCTCTGCAGACGACAGTATCGTCTTCTCGAACGACTGCTCACGCGTGCCCGGCAGGTTTAGCAGTATCGAGAGCAGCGGCACATTCAGCGTGCAGAACAGTGACGAGCTGGCCGCACAGCGCAGCGCCAGCGGTGTCCGGTGGCACCCCTCGGCCGGAGACGCTGAAGACAGCCTCCTCTCGGCTCCCACCGCTGACGGAGACGAAGACGACAGCGTGGTGTTCGCAGCCGAGTCGGGCCAGCCTCTGGTCGACTACACCATCCCAGACACCACTGGTGCCTCCTCCAGCGCCGTCAGCGGCCCGCTGGTGGCGTTCCAGACGAACCGCTCACCGGGCCAGGACGGCACTGGCTTCTGGGACGATGAGGAGGAGGATACGGGCGACGCGCCCGACGCCGCTGCCTGGTATCTCTTCATCCAGATGCAGCTGTGCCGCAAAGAGTCGCTCAAGGACTGGCTGCATGCCAACAGCGGCCCACGAAGCCTTCCACGCGTGTTCGCCATATTTAGACAAATCCTGAATGGTGTTGAGTATGTCCACAGCCAGGGACTTATGCATCGGGACCTAAAACCATCCAACATCTTCTTCGCTCCCGACGGTACGGTCAAGATTGGCGACTTTGGTCTGGCGACGACTACAGTGAGCGGTGAGCCGACCAGCCATACGCCGGCCCAGCTGAGCTCGGCGGCCGGCGGCCACACTGACCAGGTGGGAACGCAGCTGTACATGAGCCCTGAACAGGTGCTCGGCCGCTCGTACGACTACCGCGTGGATATCTACTCGCTGGGGATTATTCTATTCGAGCTGCTGGTGCCGTTCTCGACCCAGATGGAGCGGCAGCATACTTTGGCTCAGGTGCGGAGACTGCTGTTTCCAGAGAGTTTCCGGCGCGACCAGCCGGCAGAGTACGCCCTACTGGAGCTGATGCTGAGCCACGAGCCAGCCCGGCGGCCGTCCATAGCCGAGATTCGCCGCAGCGCCGCCAGATGTCGGTCCGTGTCCCGCGGCCCCGGCTCCAACTCCAGCTCCGGCTCCGGCGCTGTGGGCCTGCTGGAGGATGAGCTGGATTCGGTGAGCTCTCAGACCGGGCTGGGACTCCAGTTCAGGGGGATTGAGTCTGAGTCTGATGAGGAGTCTGATGCCGAGTCGTGGGACGAGTCTGCTCGTCTGGACTCGACCGGCCTCGACTCTGCGGTGTTTGAGGATTCAGCGATGGAGTCGGTTCCGAGTCCCCCGTCCGCGAATCAGCTCAGATCCCCCAACATGAACAGAACCGCCTCCGATCCCATATCGCTGGACTCAGAGTCCGAGATAGAGTCGGAGTCGGCTGTCTCGGCGATAGCGAGCGCCGGTGCCGGTGACCAACCAGAGAAAGATGCCTCTCTGAGCTTCAAAACACCGGAGTCCAGCATTCCGGGCTCTGCTGTACCAGTCCCAGAGTTGGTTGCCTTCTGCGATGAAGATTCCGCATGATATATTCTGTCAGTCAGACATACTAGTTTGTGATTCTCCGGGGAACAGATGGGATGCTGAGTTTTTGGGAGCAGCGTTCTGTACATAAAGTAGCATATTTCAGTCGCAATTATGAGGCTCATAAGATTCATGTGATAGTTGGCGCTGGCTACGGCCCCGGCGCCGTGAGACCTGCGTTCCGACTTGATTTGCCAGCAGCGTTTAATTCACTGCTGTTTACTTTAGTCCAGGTCGCGTGTGCGGTATGATAGGTTGCGGTGTAATGCGTTGTTGGTATGTTGGAGGGTGTGTGTATTTATAAGCGGATTGTCGCGTCGATATTTTGCGCTACTACCCGGGTCTTCTCGTGTGTATTAGTCTCGGCTCTCATAAGGAATCATCAGTTGACGCCAAAAACTGCGTGTGTGCTGCGTAATCTGCGAATGGACGCCTTGCCATCGTATTATGAATTCGAGACAATTTACTTGGTTATCGTTTAGCTCCATTGACCTTTTTTGCACTTGGTGGGTTGTGAACATTCCCTGGATCATTTGACCTAGTTTGCATAATTACCGGTAATAGTGTGTAGTGTACTTATCGTTAAGTGTCTTTTTGCCAAGACTGTTGTGAGCGTCACAACTGTGTGAATTCCTGGCCGAGCTACTGCCGGCTCTCTAGATGTAGGTACTCGGTCTGACCTCTAAAGAGATGATTATGGGAGCACGTAAGCGCCTCGGCGCCAAAGCCCGTCGCCATGCCGGTCGTTTGGGCGAACAGGGTGTCAATCACAAAGAGGAATCGTTACCACTATCGAGTGCGTGAGTGTCGTTTCCTGAAAAGTTGGCTGTGTGGTACGCATACGTGTAGAAACGAACAAGGAGTGACGCCTGAATAAATCGCGTGCTAGTTTTAAAACTGTGTTTGTGGGGGTGTTGTTTGGACAGGGGCGCGATGGAGTTACATCATACCAAGGCAATGCATCTTTCTTCAATGAACAATGCGGAACGTCCAGGTTAGTATGGGATTTCGATTATTTACTGCTCGGTGCTCACTCACCAAAAGAAAGAAAAAAACACCATTCATTGCTAATTCGATTGGGCATGCCCTTCAGGTCGTTTCAAACCCCGGTCAAATGTACATAATTTGTTTTGTTCGGACTTTGAGGGACTGCCCTATAACGGGACAGACATCTAAGCGCTACCCTATCCCCGTGCTCCCTACGCCTCAGATCGTCCCACATCGCCTGACCTGTGCCCCACATCGCCTGACGATCTACCGCCGCCCCGCAGACCCGCCTTCTGGTGGGGGTGTTCGAACAGGACACCAAGGACCTGGTCAAGTACATGAAGGGCCTGTGGAAGTGCTGCCAGCGTCTGATCGTGGCCCAGCAGGAGGTGACCGTGTCCATCCGGTCGCTGGCCAACCACCTCAGGTCGTACCCGCAGCAGGTGAGGTGGTCCCGCTCATTGGTGCTATTTTGCGGCGGGAGGAACGTGATAGCTTTTGTGGATAGTGTCTTGGGTCACTAATGAGTGAGTAGGAGCTAGGCATAGACGTTTTTTGTTTTGTTGGGTTAGGCCCTTTCGGTCCAATTAGACCATTTCAGAGCCGGAAGGATGATAGGAATTAGGGGGAGACATTGGTCTGGGCAGGCATCCTAGTGAGTCACCGGGGTTGAGCCCATCCCGAAGGACAGGCCGACCAGCCCCAAGGTACTCACTGCACCCGGCTACGGGGTGCGCTCCCTCGGGAGCAGCGGTGCCGCTCCAAGGGAGCAGCCCGCATGAGATAAAGTTGCCTGTCCAGTCCGGAGGGGGGTTGCGGCGTGGAGGAGAAGGATTTCCGTATCCTGAGGATAGAAGCATGGAGCGGTGTGAGGCATAGACGAGGGCTGATATAGGCACTGCCTTCAATAAGTGCGTTCCAGTTTATGTAACAACGATAAACGCTCATTAGCCGGTCATCTAATCGTACCGTGGTAATTCTGACATTCTAGAGGCAGTCATGAGACTACGTGTCATCTACGCAATCACACTGCAGTCCTGATTTTCAATGTCATCTGCTTACTATGTGATATTTATGTTAGCTAGCTACATATGTTCGTTGGATACCGTCCGCCCTACCATACTGACAGCGCCATCTGCTCGTCTCTCCCCACAGAGCCCCCTGGAGTCGAACTGTGATACGGCACCGACACTGCGAGAGTTCGCCCAGAACATAGAGGAGGTGGGTTTCAATCACCGGTGCCCACAATGCTTGGATAGCGGAGGAAGTCCACTATCTTCTTGAGCGTCAGAGTTCTGGGGCGATATAGTGTTTTGCGTTGCCAGTGAAGTCCCATGCTGTACGATTGCGCCAGGCTAATAAAACGATGTTGTTTTTCCTCGAAGCCGCATACAAGATCCTCTATTTGAATGCCCTACGTTGTCAGCCTCTTTGCGCTCCATTCGTTAATTTCTCCCATCCTGTCGCGTTCTCAGATCGGCTCTTGGCACCACGGCCTGTGCACCCAGCTGGCGGAGAGTGTGGCCGCCCCGGTACACCGCTACATCGACAAGGAGCTGCAGGAGGTCTTCACCGTCGGACAGATGTACCAGGTCAGCAGATAGCAGATGCTATTTTAGCCAGACATGTCGTTTCAGGCCTGATAGATCAGTTAATTCGGTAGGAAGTGAGAGATCAGTCAGTTAAGTGCTGCCAAAGATCAGGATGTAGTGTCGAAACTCGAAGTATCGTTTCTATTTTCCTCAAACTGACTCAGTATTCGTATTGTTTCCGCCTCTTCAAACGCCCCTCTCCCCCTCCCTACAGACTGTGACTGAGGACCTGGACCGCACGCTGAGCCGGTACGCGCGCGCCTCCAAGAAGGCCAAGCCGGACCTGGAGACGGAGCGTCTGGAGGCCGCCTCGGAGGTGTACACCAGCAGGAAGAAGTTCCACCAGATGTCCCTCCTCTACTACAACAAGATGAACCTGCTGCAGTACAGCCGGCGCATGGCGCTCGTGGACCCGCTGCTGGGATTCCTACAGGCCTACAGGTGGGTGGGGGTGGAGGCGGCTTGTCTCTGGGGCGGGAAACTGGTGGGGTAGGCTAGCATGGATAGAGTAGAGTGCATGTCAGACCTCCCGCGGATATAGGGGACGAGTAGGGAAGGCCGCCCTGGGGCTGGAGTGAAGATGGAAGACTGCCTGGTACGCATTGGTGCCGAGTACACTTTGGTGTAATATGGCGCATCCAATTCTGCTGAGATGGGTGCCGATGACCATCGCAGTCTTGGCGCCATAAAACCTCAAATCGTCGTCACCATCATCATCAATTCTGATAAGCACGTTCACACATCGCCTCCTGTGTCCACAGATCGTTCTTCAGCATGGGGAACGGCTCGCTGAACGTGCCGGAGATGGAGACGTTCCTCAGCACCGTCACGGCTGCGTCAGCGGTAAGGACTAGGGATCACTCATGAGCTGCAGCTCATAACACCACTTTATCATGGGCATTGGCAGTGTCGTCCTCAGTGTGATCCTGCTACGTTCGGTGATATTCCACTAATGATCCTGGTCATTCAATCTCATTCGTTACTGCCTACTGGTGTCTCTCCTGACTCATGGTCTCTTGTTACATGATTTATTCGCCACACTTACCCACTCGTGGCGTTTTTACTCCTTCCTCAAGGATTCTTATTCGAAGTTATCTGCCTCTTTGTCCCACGCCAACCAGTCGAATCTTCCTCACCCCCTCCCCCGCCCCCTATCCCCCATATCACCTCTCTTCGCCCATTGTGAGTTGTGACCCGTCTGACCCCCTTCCGCCCCCCCCCCAGGCCACCCAGTCTGAGCTCATGTCTGAGATGGCCGAGTCGGCTGACCTGATGGACGCCATCATCACGCAGTCGGAGGGACAGTACAGCGTGGAGCCCGACCAGGACGGCTCGCCCCGCGACGGGGAGCCGCCGGCGCACATCGCAGACTACCTCTTCTACAAGACGTTAGTATCTTCTGCTTTACCTGGCGATGGCCTGTGGCGACTGGCGATGCTTGTACTTACTTCAACATGTAAAGGAATTTTGAGGGACTAGTTTTTTATGTATTCTGTATTCTGTATTTGCATTAGCCGACTACAGGCCTTGCAGCCCATTTACAGTGGCAGTTACAGTGGCATGTATTGGAGTAACGAAGCTTTCGAATGAAGTATACATTTTAGTGTTTAGATTGGATCATGTGAAAATATTGTGTGATTGCTTTTAAATGTTTCCTCCAATGATGCTGCTGCTGCCATATACCCTATGCTGCAGCTGCCGTCAGCCACTCTATTTGGCCCCTTTCTCCTCCAGTCTTTCCATGGACGTTCTAACACCCTCCTCTCCCCCCCCCCCTCCATCCACAGCCGCTACATGGGCGTCATGTCTCAGTGGGAGCGTGTGTTCGTGTTCACCGAGGGCGGTAACCTGCTCATGTGCCGGCGCGGCGAGGCGGCCGGCTGTCTGCTGGCTGAGCTGGACCACTCGACACTCTGCCAGCCGCTGCCCAACGAGGACCGAGGATCCGTGTTCCAGATATCCACCAGCAAAAAGTCAGTGGCGTTATACAGACAGGGGAATTGGGATGAAATGGGAAAGGAATGGGCCCTATGTGGCTGTTAATTGTCTGTTTAGAACGGAACACGTTTTTGATCATATAAAACATTCGTAATGAACGAACAGTTTTTTTTTTCGGAATATGTTGAAATGGTCCGACACGTATTCAAAGTGTCCCTTTTACACGTACAGTCACCAGCACTTGCTACTAATCACCTCGTTTTTGTTCAGTAGTTTGAAGACCGATCAACTGTCAGTCGCGCAAGATACGTCAAACGATCCGTTTGGTCCTCCGATTTTCGAATATCTAACTTGTTTTTGTATATACGAAGCATTTTGGGATGGGGAGCCAAAAAACCTCTTTTCTGCCCTAAAGTGTGCCCCAAGAAGTCGTAGAACCTAGCCTCGCCTCTGACCACAGACCACTAGTGCCATCTCTTGTCAGCCGAACAAGCCGCAGAAGTAAATAATGTCACGTGACCTTTGCACACGCTACAATTACTACGCAGCTGTAGTAGGGGAAGCGGGGCGGAGGCGTGGAGAGGGACGCGATCGGTCGGCTGGGGTCAGGTCGCCGAGGTCAGAGGTCATCCGCCGGAGGGTGTTTGAGCGGTTGGGCCGTGTGGGCTGGGGCCTGCGGAGTGGGGAGCGCCTGGGACCTGTCTTGAAACAAGTCCTACAACGCTGTGACAGTCGAGAATATTGTGAGAAAAGAGAGAGAGAGAGAGAGAGAGAGAGAGAGAGAGAGAGAGAGAGAGAGAGAGAGAGAGAGAGAGAGAGAGGGAGATGGAGAGGGAGAGAGAGAGAGGAGAGAGAAAGAGAGAGAAAGAGAGAGGGAGAGAGAGAAATAGAGAGAGAGAGAGAGAAAGAGAGAGGGAGAGCGAAGAGAGAGCGAGAGAGAGCGAGAGCGAGAGAGAGAGAGAGAGAGAGAGAGAGAGAGAGAGAGAGAGAGAGAGAGAGAGAGAGAGAGAGAGAGAGAGAGAGAGAGAGAGAGAGAGAGAGAGAGAGAGAGAGAGAGAGAGAGAGAGAGAGAGAGAGAGAGAGAGAGAGAGAGAGAGAGAGAGAGAGAGAGAGAGAGAGAAAGAGAGCTAAGAAAGACTGGAGGGAAGGGATAAGGACGGGAGGAGAGGAAAGAGAGAGAGAGAGAGAGAAAACTGAAAAGGAAAACCAGATAGGGTAAAATGAGAAAGAGGGCAATGGGTAAATCAGTGAGAGGGAGCGAGAGAGGAAATATTTAGTTGTGTCAGCTTGTTTCACATGTAAAGTGCAAATTTGCTTTCCATCATTACAGCTTCGGATTGGAAATTAAATCTTAGCATCCTTGTGATAAACCCACGTTGACGGGATGCAGTAGCGGCGGAACACCTTCAATTAAGGGGGGGGGGGGGGGCACTGCCGACTTTTGGTCCTATTATTTCCATGCAACGCTCATTGGGCTAATGTTGAAATGCCAAAATCAAAGGGGGCACGGTGCCCCGGTGCCCTCCCCGTTCCGCCGCCTATGACGGGATGGGGACGCTTTTATGGTCGTCGTTGGGAGCTCGGCACTAATGGGGTCTGGGGATGATGTTGAAGGTTTCTCAAATGTTTAATAAAAGATGCTATTTTTTGCACAACCTATTAAACATTTTTTTACGTTTGCTATGAAAATGTTAGGCCCAGTTCCTTCAAGATCAGGTCCACGACTCCACAGCTTACAACAGGAGCTAGCTAACATAACAATTAACCCGCGCCGCCGTGTTGGTGGCATTAACTTTCCATCGAGTGCTGGGGGGGGGCGTTTTACGCCCCTCCGTCTTCCATCGAGTGCTGGGGGGGGGGGCGTTTTACGCCCCTCCGTCTAACTCGGCTCCTGGGCTACGTAGCGACACGCGGTAAGCGACAATCGAAAGAGCGTCAAAAATAAGGTGGAAAACACTCGGTCATTTAAGGTCAGGGCAAAGGTCAGGTCACCAGGGTTCATCAAAAGGTCAAATTTTGTTGATTTCAACGATTTCGAACACCCGACGGCTAACTCGGGAAGTCGGGAACCAATAGAGCTACAGCGCCGCGGAAAAGCGCATTCGATAGCTCTTTTAACGGTTTTTCGCCAACATGTCCTCAAATGACCTCAGGGGCACACACAGGGGTCACAGGTGCAATTTTCCGATTCAGTGTGTCATGTTTACCTATGGACCGATGTTTGAGAGGGTGTAGCACGAAATTCGTCCAAAAGAGGCGCATTTCAATTTTCCTCCCATTGACTTATACCTAATGGAGCAGTCGCAAAACTGACCTGACCTTAGGTCACAGACATGAAAAAATCCGAGGTATCCATTTTATACATACTGCTACCCTAAGCAAGCACTGAAAGTTTAAAGTGATCGCTCAGTCGGTGTAGCTACAACGAGCTTTCGATTTTTTTCTGAGGTGAGGTCACTTGACGTTACCTGGTGACCTGACCTTGAATGACGCTACGCGTCGCGTCGCCGTTTTTTGAGATATTCGCGAAAAACCTGAGGAGGGGGCGTAAAAACGCCCCCCCCCCCCCCCCACCAGCACGGCGCGGGTGGTCGACATAGCGACTCGGACTGAACAAATGCCTTTAACGTTTCAACGGTTGAATAAGGTGAGAGGATTGAGGTAGGCTTGTATCGGATTTTCTTCTGCTTGTCGGTAGTTTAGGTTGAGCGCGAGCTGTCCATCTACTATTATAAATCTTAAAAAGTCCGCCGCCGCCGCCCACGCCGCCGTCGGGTTACGCAGTCGGTGTTACTCCCAAAAACGCTTATTGAGCGCCGTCGATTGACGCAGGAGGGTGAAATTTTCACGACTCGTGGGTCACGTAATTCAACAGGTCGTATTAAATTTTGGGCACGATGCGGCCAGGGGTGCACCCGTGCGCGTGCTCATGTGCGCCATAGGGATAGCATTAGAATCGCGACCGCGCCGAGCAGAGGGCACGTGCTTTGGCTCCGTTGTTTCGCTTAAAAAACTGAGTGAAAGCCAGAGCCGGCAGGTCGTTGACCTTTGACACGAAGGCCGACACAGGGCACCCTCGCCATGGGGATTCGCCAGTAATACAATTAATTTTGTTTTTGCATATCTCAGCCGTTTCTGGGCCGATTTAGCTGAAACTTGGACTGTCCGTGGTAGATAGGTAGGGTAGGGTAGGGTAGGTAGGG